CCTTTCAAGCATGGAGGTGACGTTACAGCCTTTTCTTCTTTGAAGTGGGGTGATTGGCTTTGTAGAGATCTCCCCTGTCCCCAGACCATTGAGCAGGAGGTTGGCCAAGATGGCCTGTATGGCCCCTTCCAACTCTGTGATTCTATGTGTCTGTTATTCTAAATACATTCCAATCTGCAATTCCAAATTACATTACATTCTACTATTCATTACGTTACATTACAATCCACTATTCTAATCTATTATTCCAAATCAGAAATAAAATGAAATAAAGAGGATGTATGGCCCTTCTGGGGGATTGGTAAGAATACAGATGTAAGGGCTGAATGAGGTTAGTGTATGTAGTAAGATAAGAACCCAGTATCCCTGTTAAGTCCTGGGGATTCCATTGTTCTGAGTATTGTAATAACGTGCGACTCAGCAATGTCCCTTTCTAGTCTGTTCCTGAAGTTCCTTTGCACTAAAATAAGCTACTTTGAGATCACCCATTGAATGTCCTGGAAGATTGAAGTGTTCTCCTATAGGCTTCTCGGTCTTGTGATTCTTGATGTCAGATTTGTGTCCATTTACCCTTTGGCGTAGGGTTTGACCTCTTTGCACTATGTAGAGAACCGTAGGGCATTGTTGGCATTTAATGGCATATACAGTGTTAGAAGATGAGCATGTGAATAAGACTAAGATGGTGTCGTTGATGTTGTTAGGTCCAGTGATTGTATCGTCTGGGTATGTGGCAGCAAAGTTGACATATGGGTTTATTGCAAATGTTCAATTTATTTATTTTAATTTCTAGACCACCCTCCCCTGTAAAACAGGGCTCAGGGCACTGTACAACAACAAAAAACACATTCATAAATTCATAGTTAAAACAATAAAAATACAACAATTGGCCTAATTAGATGGTGCTAAGCAACGTCAGGTTGTGCTGCTGCACCACCGGGTGGTGGTGGAAGAAACAAGAGTGCCAAAACCATTGCTGTCCTCAACCAAATGCCTGACGGAACATCTCTGCCTTACAGGCCCTGCAGAACTACATTAAGTCCCACAGGGCATGGATGTTATTTGGCAGAGTTCCACCAGGTTGGAGCCAGAGCCAAAAATTAGATATTGTATTACTATGGATTAGGAGTTGTTTGAAATTGGGGGCTGTCTGTATGCAAGAAAAGGTTTGCCCCACAGTACTTGTGAAAGAGAAATGTAATTATCAAGTAGATGTTGTAAACTGCTTATGATGCTTAGAACGGTTTTGAATTGAGTGCTGTATGTGACCACTAGTGGTGTTCTGTTATTGTCTCTTTTGGGCCTGTTTTGCAACAGGATTTCCCTGGGTACCATTCTGGCTTTGTTAATCTGTTTCATTACTTCATCAGGTAGATATGTTTGGTTCCAAAAAGGTTTGTTGTAGATCCCTCAGGTGGCAACCTCTGTCTGTGGGACTGGAGCAGTTGTGGCTATAGTGTACAGCCTGGCTATATAAGGTGGTGTCTTATGCATCCATTGTGTATTTTGAGAGTAGTGTCCAGAAAATGTATTTCTTGCATAGATTGGTTGATTGTCAGAACGTTGGGGTGACATTTGTTGAATGCTTGGTGGAATATGTCCAGGGCTTCTTTACCATGTGTTCAGACAATAAAAATGTAATCAATGTATTACAGCTATGAGTGGGTGGGATTTAGGAAGCGCTGCTTGAAATCAGTCATAAAGATGTTAGCATACTGTGGGGCCATGCGGGTCCCCATGGCTGTACCATTGATCTGAAGGAACAAGTTGTTGCCAAATCTGAAGTGGTTATTGGTGAGAACAAAATGGCACAGTTTGGTGGCAAAGTCATCTGTGCTGTTGTCAAAAATAATCTTCCTTATGGCTTGTAATCCATCTTTGTGTGGGATGTTGGTATTACAAGCCATAAGGAATCCACACAAAGATGGAGTACAAGCCATAAGGAATCTGATTACAATATGCACTGTACCTTTGCATCCTTTGCAAGCATTCTTTACAACACCACTCCCACCTTCTGACTGAGATAAAAAGACTCAGATGAATTTCACACAAGAGCAGCGCCGCGTTGCGCCTCCCTTTGCCCCGCTTCTATTGGTCAATTTCCCACTCGAAGCTGCGCGGCCGCATTCTTACCCGCGGCGTTGCGCAATTTCCCCCACCATTTCGTGATCCTCAAAAAACAGGATCACGAAGCCGTGGGTCAAAATGCGGCTGCACAGCTTCGAGTGGGAAATTGATCAATAGAAGCGGGGCGAAGGGAGGTGCGTGCGGCGCAGCTCTTCTGTGAAATTGGTCTCAGCGATCTCCATTCCTATTGTTTCTAACAAAGTGAGCTTTGACTCTTGAAAGCTTATACCATGAAGCTCTTGCTGGTCTCTCAAGTGCTACTGGACTGGAATCTAACTGTTCTACTGCATACCAACACGGACATGCAAAAAACAGTAAGATTAGCAAGTGAGCATTCCCAGTAGTAGCTGATGACACCATGCCCCTAGTTCTGTTAAGCTGATTTATATCTGTAGTGTGTGGGAAATGGCTCATTTTAATTCAAGAGCCGATAGTGTCTCACTTTCTTGGTTGGTGCCTTAAAAAGAGAACCTAGGGGTGTGCCTAGAAGTAGCAAAGACAGGGGTCATTTGGGGGGGGGACGCGGGGGGACACCATCCCCCCGGGTGAGGTGCAGGAGGGCGGGGCCTGGAGCTCCCTGCTGGTGCCCGCTGGAGGTCGCAGCCGGCTGTGGGGAGGACACACTTCCGGTGATGTCAGGGGGTGTGGCATATGCTAATGAGTTATGCTAATGAGTCCCCCTAGCTCTTTTTCTACGAAATGACCCCTGAGCAAAGATATGTTAGATCATAGTAGGAGCCTTTGTGGGAACACATGGCTGATCTTTCTTCCTCTTCAAATGGCTCTTCCTGCTGCTGAAGTGGACACTCGCGCACTGTTGTTCTCAGACACAGGGGCCTTACATGCAACCCTAAAAAAAGTTACTAAGTCCATTGACTTCAATAGATTTAGAAGGTTGTAACTGTTTCAGATTGCACTGTAAGCCTGTCAGTGGCACACGTTATATTATTCAATCTACCTTGTGAGATGAAGACTAGTGTAGCTCTCTCCATGTTTCTCCTAGACTCAGGGTATTGTCTTACTGCCTTTTAGCTACCTGGTGATGCCTTACATGCAAACCGATTTACAAAAGATTATGGGACATCAATTCAGTGATGAAAAGATCCAGTATCTAATCTACCAGGTGCTGAAAGGGTTGAAGGTAAGCAGGGTTTGGAAAAACTCAAAGCACGAATTTGAACCTGTCAGATGTTCAGACTGCTGAACTGTGCTTAGTTTCTGTAATTACCTGAAAAGTAGTTTCTGTGGGAATGGACCGCACAGAGGTCAAATTGCCATCTTTATGAAAATCAATGTCTGCATGCTGGCTCATTACAAAATATCACAATTTTTCACATCCCCCATGTTATTTTAGCTGAGAGCTCAGCAACTGAAATAAAGCATTTGCTTTTTAGGACAGCGAAGTAGTTTGTTTTCACTGTGTGACTCTCTTGAGTATAAAAATATTTGTTAATGAGATGCCTGAAGAGTCCACCATCTCTCAGTTTAGCTATCCTTCCCCCTTCGGTAGAAACGATGTAGATTTCCTCGGAACTACGGTCCTTCCAATTAATTCACATACAGATTTTAGGGGAATAGAGAGTTATACAGAAATGCCCTCCATCACATAGGATCTTGACTGATTATTAACTGTTGAAAAAAAATATCTGTTTTACTAATGATCAAAATCAAATTGAGGCTTTTCTATTTTATTGCAGTATATTCATTCTGCTGGAATCATTCACAGGGTATGTTTTCATTCACTTAACTCTGTTTCAGGCTCTTTCTCAAGCAGTGCACGCAACTCCAGTCAATACCTTTAAACATCGTATCTGTACTTTCTTCAGCCTTCTTCCATTTTTTTGGAGTTAGTTGAAGATTTCTGTCTTTGACCTTGAAGACTGCATGAGGGGACAGGGAGGAAGGGGAGGAGGAGGAACATGTGAACATGACTGTTAATCAGTTTCATGTGCATCAGGAACAAACTGAGGTTTGTTTGTAGCATCTGAATTGCCTCCTGGACAGAGATCATGTTCAGTATAGCAAACCCCCCGTCTGGTTTAAAATCATTACTTCTGCCAAATCATAGTACACAATAGGTTTGTTTGCCTCCCCACTATTACAACTGATCTCCAGACCAGTGTTCCCTCTAAGCTGAGTTAGTGTGAGTTAGCTCACAGTTTTTTAGCCTCCAGCTCACACATTTTTGTCTTAGCTCAGGAAGGATGCCTCCAGAGCAAACTAAGGTATGCAGTAACCAAATCGCTGGCTCACAACTTTAATGCTAGTAGCTCACAAAGTAGAATTTTTGCTCACAAGACTCCACAGCTTAGAGGGAACATTGCTCCAGACTATCAAGATCAGTTCCCCTGGATAAAATGGCTGCTTTGGAAGATGGGAACAATGGCATGAGACCTTACTGAGGTCCCTGCCATGTCCAATCTCCACTCTCCCCAGGCTCCACCCTCAAAATCTCCAGGGCCAATTCTGCACAATCACTTGCCCCGGTGTCACCCCCCCCCCGATAATATCCACAGAAATTGATCAGTTCCCCACATGTTGGTCCAGATTGGCAATTGATCCGAATCTAGTGGCGTTTCTCCTAGGCTTGCCAAGTCCCTCCGGGGGGCGGGGAAACCCCCGCACGAGAGGCCTGTTACCCTCCACCGGCGGATTGGGCCCCGGGGGAACCCCACCCCCAAACCGTGCAATTTGCCCAGCATGAGCATGTCACCCGGAGGTGACATAATCGCGTCGGGCATGTTGGGGGTGGGGCCACAATCATCCAAGGGAAAACTCTATGGTTTTCCCTTGGATGATTGTGGCCCCATGCCCAACGCGATCACGTCACTTCCGGGTGACATGATCACGGTGCATGCGTGCAGGGACTCCGGGTCCAGCCCTGGACTCCTCTGCTCTTCTCATGGTAAGGACTTGGCAACCCTAGTTTCTCCCCAGATTTTCTATCTCCGCTATTTTCAGGATCTTTTTTTTACTACAGGGTTGAAGTCAGGGCATTGTAGTGGGGAACTCACGAATCGCGGCTGTCCTCTCTCCACCCCTCTGCTTCTTTCCCTCCCCTCCCCACCTCTCCCCACTCCTTCAAGGCACCTCTGCCTCTCTGATTCCCTCCCCCTCCCTTCCCGCCTCCCCCTCCCTTTCTCACCCTGGCACGAGGGGATTTTTTGTGTCCTCCCCTTGTGTTGCGTTGCAACACAATACTGATCCACCGTTGGTTGGCATTTAAATGTCCTTTTAAATGTACCTCTGCTGTTTCCCCATTTCTGTGTCAATTCGCTATTTGTACAGAAGTAGTGCCATTGTTAAATGCATTAAGGGTGACATGGAGGCGTGGACAAATTTTTCTTGGGGCTAACCTACAGGCTGTAGTGCAACTGTTAAACAGATGCATTGAGGGTGGCATGGTGGTATGGACACAATTTTCACGGGTGTGACATGTGTTGCCTTGTATGTCTGCTTCTCTCCCTCCCCTCTCCCTTTCCCCTCCCCTTTTCGACCTGGCACAACACAACTACGCATGTGTAAAGCACACCTGTTTTCCAGTGGGTGGGTGCGTTACAACACAACCACGTCCCTGATCCAAAAAAAAAAAGGAGGGGGAAGAGAGGGGAGGGGGCACTAGATTCAGGGCAAGGCAACAAATCCGGGTCAGAGTTCCTTAATGCAGAACTCCCCCAACAGAATCAGGCCAATTAGACCCGGGGAGAACAGACAGCAAAGCATGAGTGCGGAATCGGCCCAGGTTTTTTCCAAAATGGAGCTGGCAACCCTACACCTTCATGCCAGAGAGCCAGTTTGGTGTAGTGGTTTGATTCCCCACTCCTCCACATGCAGCTGCTGGTGTGACCTTGGGTCAGTTACAAGTTCTTTCAGAGCTGTTCCCTCAAGGGCAGTCTGAAAGAGCTCTCTCAGCCCCACCTACCTCACAGGGTGTCTATTGAGGGGAGAGGAAGGGAAAGGGATTATAAGCCACTCTGAGACTCCTTCGGGTAGTGAAGGGTGGGGTATAAATCCAATCTTTTCTTCTTCATCATCATCATTGGGGCTAGTATTTATCAGGGCTGAAAACAGTAAAAAGAAAAAGATTTTGGTCTTCTAGCAGTGATCTGATGTCACACACAGATATTAAACTTGAATGTTCTAAAATTTAAAATAAACACTTAAGAACTTATAATGTCCTAAGAACTAGCATAAGCATTTATCAATTCACCTGGAGATATTTCATGCTTTGGTTATGTATTATACTTTGAAATCCTTTAGGTGTATAATGCAATTAATTATGGGCAATTAACTGATAAATTAGTGGTAGCTTGAAAACGTTTGTGATACTGTCTGCTTGGGTGACAGACTGGAGGGCTTTATGACAGGTGCCTTCCTTGATGGCTTTGCAATGCACTAGGAAAGGGCTTGTCTCTGCTGGGCTGAAGATGGGACTGACCCATGGTCCATAAAAAGCCATGTGTGATAGGGAATGCAGTGAGGAGGGAAGCTTCTTGCACCAGTGGAAAACCGGTAGGATCCAATCCAATATTTATTCAACATCAACAGTGTGCCAGGTGCTTCTTTACATTATTATATCTGGTCATAGCTTCCTCTTGAGGAATCCTAAATATTGTACATTTTGTGCAGAGAACACTAAACCCATGATTACAGTCCTCAGGATTTCCTGGATATGGCATTAAATCAAGTTTAACTATATATTACATGTGGTTAAATTGGGATGAAATGACACCAGTCATTATTTCCTGATTTCTTAAAACAAATTGTGTGTGTTACAGGACCTGAAACCTGGCAATTTGGCAGTGAATGAAGACTGTGAACTAAAGGTAGAAATCCCTTTCTTCAGTACAAAATATTTAGCACATTGGATTTTTGGTCTAAGTGAACCCTTTTGATTCAATTATGTATGTGCAACCTAATCCTGTTTCCGTGGGACTTACTCCAAAGTAAATGGATTTAGAATTGCAGCCTAGCTACGTACTGAATTTTAAACATGTCTACTGCTTTTTAACTCCACAATTTCGTGCGTTGATTGGAAAACATCATGGTGATAATTAGGATCTGCTATTATCTCTGCTGTTCGTGGCAAACTGGGAGGCCAAAACACCACAGACTAGGACCTTCTCCCCATACCTCCCTAATGGATTCATCCAGGCCCGGCCTGGTGGTGGCAGCCACCACAATTCTCCTGGGTTGGGCCAAGTGGCAGTGGCCACCATGTGACTTTCCTGGGCCAACCCCCTTGTTCCCCTGAGCTGGCTGGGCCTGGGTCAGGAGACATGACTCCCTCAAGTGATCAGCCCACTGGGATTTTTCCTGTTGTGGCCAGTCTGCCCGTGTGATGCATATTGGCTGTACTTGTCAGCTTTAAAAGCCAGTTCAAACTTACATTTAGTTTGCTTATTGTTTACTGCACGTCATAGTTTCTAGTATAGGCAGAGAGAAATAGTGTGAGAGAGCAACTGCAGAGTGTTCATGCAAAAAAATAACCTTTTTTACTTGTGGGTGGGGGTTCTGTGTTCTCTGGTTCCCCCATCACATTATCACTCTTTTTTAATGCTGCAGATCTTGGACTTCGGATTGGCAAGGCATGCTGACTCAGAAATGACAGGCTATGTGGTGACTCGTTGGTACCGAGCGCCTGAAGTGATTCTTAATTGGATGCATTACAACCAGAATGGTGTGTTAAATAACTTATTTGGAGACTGACTGGGCAACTTTTGTCATTAGGATGCAGAATAGCCACAATCAGTCTTTCTGTAAGGTTTTCTGTGAGCTTTGTTTCCTGCAAGAATAGTGCCTCCTGTTAAATAAGTGGAACATGCTGTTCCTCATTCAGCCAGACAGTTGCTAAAACTGGGTAAATAAATATGCCAATAAATTAGATGGTATATGCCTCACTTAGCTTATTCTTGTCCTCTACCTAATTTTTATGGGCACCCTGAATCTTTTTGGTTTACAGTTCTTGCAGGAGATAGTATGAGATGTCTATCCAGTGATGATAAATGCTTCCTAGTACAGGCATTCCGTCCTTTAATGGCTCTCAGACAGTTGCTCTGGATTGTGGTGTGCATCCTATTTTACCCACTTCTTCTGGTACTTAGACAGCCATGTACAACCATCCTTCTTTTGTTGTGTGTTTGTGCTGCAAATAAGTGCAAGTTTTGACTTAGCAGTACTATGGCAGTGGGAACCGTGCACTCCTGTGCCGTAAAACAACAATGCTAAGATGTTATTTTAATGGTTATAAGATAATCCTAGTACTGCAGGGTTGTTGCAGGTCTCCAAAATAACCCAAGTGTTTGCTGTTTCTAAATCCATTGTTACGTTCCTTCTCATTCTTCTCTTTCATTTCCTCCAAAACAGTGGATGTCTGGTCTGTTGGCTGTATCATGGCAGAAATGCTGACTGGAAAAACTCTGTTTAAGGGCAAAGACTGTATCCTTCTCAAACTGCTGCAAGTCCCTGTGGGAAGACATTAAAATGCTGTATTGGGCAATAATCAAGCCCGATTCTCATCATGCTTGATTTACAAGCGGTACATGGAGAGGGGAAATGGGAGGAAGTAAAAGTACTGCCAGTCCCTAAGAACATAAGAGATGCCAATGTTGGATCAGGCCAAAGGCCCATCCAGTCCAACACTCTGTATCACACAGTGGCCAGAAATACCAGGTGCCATCAGGAGGTCCAGCAGTGGGGCCAGGACACTAGAAGCCCTCCCACTGTTGCCCCCCCCCAAAGCACCAAGAATACTTGCCCCAGAGTCCCTATCTATGCCCTGTGGACCTCTGCTCTTAGAGACCATTCAGAACCCTGTTTAAGTTCTCCTGTTCCCGTCACATTTGGTCCCATGTTAAATCAATGTAGCTAATAATTTTTAATATATTTTATTTACAAATACTTATACCCCAATTCCCCCCCCATGGGAATTACAATATAATTCTCCCCTCCTCCATTTTTGTCCTCACAATAACTCTGTGAAATAGGTTAGGCTGAATGAGTGGTTCAAGATCACCTGGCCAGCTTCCATAACAGAGAGGGGATTTGAACCTAGGTTTCCCGGATCCTAGTCCTCCTAACACTCTAACCTCTACACCACCCTGGTTTGCGGGCTACTTCTCACACCATTTCATGCTTTCCTTTCTGGATCTTCAGGCATATCAAAGTGAATGCATAGTTAGGTGAGAAGCATACAAAACAGCCTGTGACAGGGCTGTGGTAGAGAAGGAAAACCTTTAAATATTGCCTATTATGATTCCACAGTTATCTCCACTTGGAATATTCTTGGAGGATATAGTTAAGTCACTGATCACAGAGTAAATGGAACTGAATTATGATGGCAGTTTTTACAGGGTGCTGCTCATAAAGATACAAAATAGTTAATTATTATGAGCAACAACAGCAACAGTAGGAGTTGGATCCAATGTACCACCAACACAAGACACTTCTGCTCAGGCAAGAGGTTCCCCTGGTTTAAGAGGGGGTAAGTTAATCTTCTTCAGCTTCCTCACTGTATCTGCTTGTGTTGCATGGGGTTTTTTTTGTCCACACAGGCTCCCCAACCCCCTCTCGGGGGGAGGGGGAGAAAGAAGATCTAACCATTCCATTGGTACTGCATAAGATCCAAACCATTATTATTCAGTGGGAAATCTCACTCTTGCACCAAGAGAAGACTAGGCAGAAGAAGTGGTAGTGGAGAAAGAACTCTACTGGTGCAAGGGCAAGGTAGGGGTGATTTTACCCAATTCCCTGTTTCACACCAGCCTCTGGTGCCGGGTGGCTTTTTGTTTATGGTGGTCCTGCAAACCCCAGCAAAGCCTTTTTGGTTCACAGACAATTGCTGCAAGAAGGGGAAGCTGGGGGAAATCTGCTATCATGAATGCCTTCCATTCATATAACCCCAAGATCCTATCCATTATTGTCCTTACAACACAAACAATGCAGGCACTGTATAAAAGATAACACAAAAATGTATAATGATGCAAAGTAATTTATTTATTTATTTATTTATTTATTATATTTATACCCCGCCCATCCCGCAAGCAGGCTCAGGGCGGCAAAGTAAATTAATACTTTGAAACTCTGAAGATGTGGATCGCAGCCTTTTTTGTTACTGAGAATCTAGGATTTTGCAGATGTTTGTCACTTCATTTATTGGCTCAGTATTTGGTCCCATGTTGACTCACCCTTAACTCTGCCTGCCAGATCTAGATCAGCTGACTCAGATCCTGAAGGTGACAGGAAGCCCTAGTGAAGAGTTTGTCCAGAAGCTGGAAGACAAAGCAGTAAGAGAAAAGCAACAGTTTGAGTTTTAAAGATGTACACTGATTTGATTATTTATATTTCCTTGTCAAATGTCTCCCTTCTCAATTTTAATAACACATCCAACATTTTAGCAAATAAGAATTACATCATTGTGTCACTATACAACCAGCATTCTTTGTTTTAGTGCTACACAGTGTTGCTAAGGACATTTGGATGCAATCCAGTCCATTTGCAATGGATGGGAGTTCTAAGGGACTTTGAGTGGATGCTGGGATATTCCATCTGAGGGAGGTGGTAGAAAATCCCAATCTTCCAGTTCCTCATCCATCAGGAGCAGAGACAGGCAGAGATGAAAGGGAGAAAGGCTGTGTATTACCAAGACACTGCATAGCCAAGCCATGCACAGCCTCCCTGCTTGTACAACAAATTTCTTTCCCATGTGAATAGGATACTGCACTATCAGTATTTAAAAGTAATTTATGGAAATACTGTGCAAAGGGTGAAATGTAGTTGGAACACGATTTGAATATCAGGAAAAAATTGTGTCTGGAGGGAGGGAGGTGTGTGTGTGTGTGGGAGGGGTCAAGTCACCTCCAACTTATAGCAACCCTATGAGTTAATGACCTCCAAAATGTCCTATAATTAACAGCCTTGCTCAGGTCTTGCAAACTGAGGGCTGTGGCTTCCTTTATTGAGTTGATCTCTTGTCTGTAAAGAGGAAATGAATTATCACTTTCTCAAAGCTGTAGCGAAATATAGCGACTAAAAGCAAACACTGACAACTAAAACTCCTTGTGTGCATGATTCACTTACATGATTTGAATGCATCTGTACTTAACTGGAACTAACAATGCCATCCCAAGCACTGTAGCACACTTCTACATCCATTGACATCTGTGGGCTTAGAAGGTTTTATCTCTGCTTAGGATGAAACTGTTAATTACTTGGAAGGGAGGGAATGAAAGGCATGCAGATAGGCCATTTATTAGCAAAAGAGAGCTGCTGGAATTCACAGCAAGATGGAGGGAGAGGTAGTGAGGCAGGGGAAAATATTACTTTCATTTATTAACAGAGGCTAATAGGGCTTGTTATATGCTGCTGCTGCAATAAATGTTGAGTCTGGATACTCAGCAATAGATGATCTTGTATTCTTCCAGTCATACATCTGTATGCCTGAATTAAACTCTTGTCTCTTTTAGGCTAAAAGCTATATACAGACTCTCCCCAAGATTCAAAAAATGGATTTATCTCTTCTTTTCCCCAGAGCCAGTCCTTTAGGTAAGTCATCTTGTGACACTTTCACTGGTGTCAAATTAATTTCCTCCAGACTCTTCATCACAGGAGTCATATTACCAGAATGTGATACTTTTTCTTTTTTTGAGGTTGATGGATCAAAATTTCAAAAATACAGTGTAGCAGAACACTGCAGTCTCTCTTCTGTGGAGCTAAGAATATTCAGTCTCTTCTGTGTTTTTATTTATTTATAGTCTACCTTTCTCGCAGGAACTCAAGGTGGATTACATAGACTAAATCAGTACAATCAACAGAGTGGGACATCCAAAAGATAATGCAATGACCCTTCTTGTAGAGATCTAGAACCAGCCAGAGATTGGAAACAATGGTGAAGTGAAGCGAAGCATAAGTATTAAAGTAACACATAATAGAGCAAATAAGCAGATATACATTAAAATAAGGAATGTTCCTTTAAAATAAGTGACACTTAATGAGTATGTTGTCTAGGAAATACTTGTGTTTGCTTTCCCTGGTGCTCTCTGAAATGGTACTAAAGGGAAAAATGCAGGTAGAAACTTGCCTTGCCACACCCCGGACTCCTTCTGAAGGCTGGTAAGGGACCCTTTGAAGACTAGTGTTTTGTGGGAGATCAGCACTCTGACTTCAGAGCAGCACCCTTACCTTCAGGCCAAAATTCAGGGTGGTGAGTGACTCCATGCCAACTGCTGCATGTCCACCAGACCATCAGAATGGGCAGCACAGCTACTGTCATACCAAACAAGCTTTGAGCCCTGACATTAGAGGTAACTTTGGTTTGAGCCAAATCCTGCAGTGCTTCCTGTTGTATATCAAAATTACTGCTCCAAGTGATGGTGATCACTTTCTTTGAGGACCTTCCCACTCAGTGTAACAAACACTGCTTTCCTAGCACTACTGCTTGGAGTTGTAGCAGCAAGAAGACAGCCCCTAAAACTGCAAGTATCTCATTATACCTTGGTAAGGGG